CATACATACATATATATATTTATATATATATATAATCATATTATCCTTTTTCATAACCCATCCATCTATTACACAACATGTATTCCTTACTTCTACCCCATCTCCCCACCCCCACCCCCACCCTTTCTTATGCCCACCCACCCATCATCTCAGCGTACGCTCGGTGGCCTACACCCCATGACCGATGCGTCGTATGAGACGTGTCTGGTGAGTGGTGGTTGTCATTCACTGGTGGTGGCTGCGGGTCAAATCCTGGGTGATCCCATGGAGACAGCGGTACTAGACAGTCTGGGCTGGCGATACTCCTCCGACGAGAATGTGGCACGGCCGTTCCAGGGCATTAAGGATAAGAAGGTATGGGGGTGTTAAAGTATGTGGTGGCTAATGAATCCAGGATAAGAAGGTATGGGGGTGTGTTAAAGTATGTGGTGGCTAATGAATCCAGGATAAGAAGGTATGGGGGTGTGTTAAAGTATATGGTGGTTAATGCATCCAGGATAAGAAGGTATGGGTGTGTAAATGGATCAGGTATGGACGTATGATATAGTGGTAGATGAATATATACGTGTGTGTATGTCTGAGGATGTGTGTATGTATGTCTGAGGATGTGTGTATGTATACCTGAGGATGTGTGTATGTATGTCTGAGGATGTGTGTATGTATGTCTAAGGATGTGTGTGTGTATGTCTGAGGATGTGTGTGTGTATGTCTGAGGATGTGTGTATGTATGTCTGAAGATGTGTGTTTGTGTTTCTGAGGATGTGTGTATGTAGGTAGGTATATGGACGTATACCTGTTGTATTTGGTATTCCTGGGTGATTCCTGGGTGACCCCATGGAGACGGCTGTTGTGGACAGACTGAGCCCTGTAAAACCCTGGCGATACTCTACCCAAGGCAAAAACCCTAAACCCTTATTCTCGGGCTCTAATTTCTCAAGGATGTTTTCAATGACTTGACCAAACGGCCTTAATTTCCTCACGACTTATTTTCTCACCTGTGTTTTTAATAGTCTATTTTCTCACCGGTGTTTCTAATATTCTTGTAGGGCGCTGAGGTGAAGGTGGCCAGTGAAGTACCGCGCGAGACTTCGATTAAAGTGCTGCACAGACATCACTTCCAGTCCAAACTGCAACGCATGAGTGTCGTGGCTCAAGTGACTGGGCCGGTATGTTTGCATGTGTCTATCATTGTACTTGAGGGGTTAGCTTGTCTGGCCATGTGTGCGTGTGTGTACACGTGTATATGCATGTGTGTACACGGGTGTATATGCATGTGTGTACATGTGTATGTACACGTGTGTATATGCATGTGTGTACATGTGTATGTACACGTGTGTATATGCATGTGCGTACATTAATGTGAAGGCTGCACAGACATCACTTCCAGTCTACATTGCACTGCATAGATATCGGCACCACACGTGACTGTCCTGCTAGGCAAGTACGTATCATCATCTCGCCTGAAGTAAAACCCTAAACCCTAAACACACGTATTATACGGCGATCCGCCTAACGTATTACACACACTGTGATCTAGTATACAACCACCTTACACTGTTACTCATAGTATGGATACCAAAAGCGTACGTATATATTTGGATTGCATACCATTCTGATTGGCCGGGGATGGTACGTTTTCATCATTAGACAAGTCTCTCACAACCGTATAACAGTATGTCACTATACAAACAAACCATAGCGTCAATATGTTTGTACGGTTAACGAGTATAGGAAAAGTGAGCCTGACCATACAAACATCTCATACGACTACGACACTTTGTTAATACAGAAAGAGAACAACGGGGCCAATACGTATGTGCTGTGTAAAGGCTCACCCGAGATGATCCAAACACTTCTGGACAACACTCACCGTGCGCAGTTGGACGACTGGTACGCGAACACGCACCGCAACCTGGCCAAGCAGGGCTATCGGGTCATTGCCCTGGCTTCTAAACAGGTATATGTATAT